GTTTTGACAATTTGACTACAATGTGTCTTGGTGTAGATCTCTTTTGAGTTTCTTGAGTTTCTTGAATGTGTATATTCATGTCTTTACTCAGATTTGGGAAACTTTAACCATCATTTATTTCTTCAAATATTTTTTCTGTGCCTTTATGTCACTCTTCCCCTGGCATTCGTTCTTCTGAGACTCCTATAATACCTATTTTGGTATTTTTTATGGTGTCCCACAAGACTCTCAGGCTCTGTTCATTTCTTCATTCTTCATTCTTTTTTCTTTCTGCTCTTCAGACTGGATAATTTCAAGTCTTTTATCTTTAAGTTCATTGATTTTTTTCTTCTGCATGCTCAAATTTGATGGTGAATACCTGTAGTGATTTTTTCATTTCACTTATTTTACTTTACAGCTCCAGAATTTGGTTCCTTTTTATAATTTCTCTCTTTACTGACATTCTCATTTGTTCTAGTTTTCCTGATTTCCTTTAGCTCTTTTCCCAGTTTCCTTTTGCTCATTAAACATATTTAAGACAATTGACTTAATCTCTTTAATAATTCCAAAGTATTGGTTTCCTTGGGGTGGTTTTCTATCAAATTATTTTTTTTCCCGTGATTGGGCTATACTTTCCTGTTCCAGTTTCCTGTAATTTCTATATTGAGGACTGGATATATTGATTATTATGTTGTGGTAACTCTGGAAATCTAATTCTTCCACTCTTCAGTGATTGCTAAATCTTGCTTGTTGGGAGCTGGAGCCGTATTTGTGACTTTGAAACTATTTTTGTAAAATGTGTATTCTTTGTTGTGTGTGATCATTGAAGTTTCTGTTCTTTTATCTCTGTAGTCAGCCATTGATCTGACAAAGATTTCCTTAAATGTCTGGCTCGCAAAGGGAAATGGTGTCTCTTTAAATGTTATGTAAGGCACTTCAGCCCAGGGGGGTTGAAACAATGGCCAGACTCTGAGCTTGTCCCGCAGCAATCAAAAATAGTAATCATCAACACGCAATCCTGATTATTTGGAGGACAAGGTCCTTATTGCCCACTCTGGCTCCAGGAGTGTTGGCCACTGTCTCTCCTCAGCTGCCTGCTGTGGGGCTGGGAAGTGGGGGATGGTAGCCACCATATGAAAGGCTAAAATTCACTAGAATTTACTGAAACTTACCAGCGTCTTCATCAAGCTCTACCCTGGTCCTTGCAAGTGTTCAACTAGCAATACTTATATCAGTGTGAAATTGATGGACACATTGATTTTTGAATATTAACCCTGAATTCCTGGAATAAACCCTTCTTGATATTATCCTTTTATATATTGTTAGATTAAATTTCCTAGTATTTTGTTAAGGATTTTTGCATCTATATTCATAATATTGATCTGTAATTTTTTGTAATGTCTGTCAGGTTTTTGTATGTTATATTGGCCTTAACAGTTTCCTCCTCTATTTTCTGAAAAGGTTTGGGTAAGATCAGTGGTATTCTTTCCTTGAATGATTGATAGAATTCACCAGTGAAACTGACTCTAGTTTTCTGTTTGTAAAGTTTTGATAAGTTCTACTTCTTTGATATGTCATTCAGATTTCTTGTGCTAATTTTGGTTGAGTTTATCAACAAATTTGTTTACTTCATGTAAGTGGTCAAATTTATTGACATGAAGTTGTTCATGGTATACATTTATCATCCTTAAATGTCTGTGGGATCTGTGGTGGTAACTTTTTTATTCCTGATATTAGTGATTGTTTTGTCATTTTAAATCAATTTTTCCATTCCAAAGAATCAGATTTTGGCTTTAATTTTACCTATTGTTTGATTTCCATCTCATTGACTTTTGCTCTTTGTCTTCTATTTCATTTGGGCATACTTAGCTTTTCTTTCTCTAACTTGTTAAGGTGGAAACTATGTTTCCCTCTAAGCCATGACTGTTCAATAGAACTTTGCAGTGATGCAAATATTCTATTCAGTGCTGTCCAATACGATAGCTATGAACCACATGGTGACTGAGCACTTGAAATGTGGTGTCTGAGAAACTTTTTAATTAACTTAAATTTAGCCTCATGGCTTGTGGCTACTGTGTTGAACAGTGCATCTCTAAGAACTGGCTTTACCTGCATCCACAAATTTTGTTGTAATTTTCATTAAATTCAAAATATTTTCTAGTTTCCCTTGTTGATTTCTTCTTTGACCCATAAATTATTTACAAATGTGCTAATTTCTGATGTTTTGGGGTTTTCTGGTTATCTTGTTACTGATTTCTAACTTAATTCCATTGGTCAGAGAACTCATTGTGCATAATTTCAATACTTTTAAACTTATTGAGACTTGTTTTACAACCCAACATATGGTCTATCTCGATGAATATGCCTTGCATACCTGAAAAAACTTAATATTCAATACACGTGCTTCTGTACCATTAATATGTGAATATTTTTTAAAAAGGCATTAACAGCTAGTCAAAACAGTCCATTTGAGATGGATTAAGCATTAGGCAGTTTACAGGATAGATGGAGCAAATTGCAAGGGCTTTAACTCAAGAGCCTAAGAAGATAAGCCCACTGATGGACACAAGGAAGATATTAGTGTCTAATGTGTTAAAATCCAAATAAAGGTATATCTTCCAGATAACCAGATGTCTTCAAAGATTTATTTAGGGCTGTCTCCCGGCCCATTACCTTTCACATAGGCACTTCCTCCTGTAGAATACAGCAAATTATCTTGCTTCTCCTCAAGAGTATGCATATGACTACTAATTCTGACAGGAGAAAGCTTGGACATAGGTGAGGCAATTAAAAGTCTTCCCAATTGTAGTGGCGGCAATTCCTACAATCATACTGAATACTGGCTGGCACTTGTACTGACAAAATTAAATTGTGTAATGGCTTTTTAGCAATGGCATAGTAGAAAGCCTGTAAAAGAAAACCTTTACCAATTATGCCTTTTGCTATGGAGCAACAGTGTCCACTATTCACTAACCATAAGTATCTATTAAGCACTTGAAATGTTGGTAACCCAAATTGGGATGTGCTCTAAGTACAATCGATTTTGAAGACTTAGTATGAAAAATAGTAACATAAAATAACAGCAATAATTTTTTTTTTTTTTTTAGCTGAGCCATCCTGCCACCTGTTGGCAGCTCAGCTCGGGCCAGGAATCGGGAATCGAACCGCTAGTTGCTCAGAGCTTGCACTAGCAAGAATTTTTAATGTGTACATATTGAAATGATAAATGTTTGGGATATATTGAGTTAAAATATTAAAATTAACTTCACCTATTTCTTTTTAGTTTCTTAATGTGCTACAAGGACATTTAAAATTACATAGGTAGCGCACATGTTTTTTTGGAGGATAGTCCTGCTACAGTCCTTTTTTTTAATAATTTTTTAAAAAATTTTATTGGCTATCAGTATGTTTTTCCAGGACCCATTAGCTCCAAGTAGTCATTTCGATCTAGTTGTAAGGGCGTTTTTCTAGGATCCATCAGCTCCAAGACAAGTAGTTGTTTCAATCTAGCTGTGGAGGGCACAACTCAGTGGCCCATGTGGGGATTGAACCAGCAACGTTGGTGTTATGAGCACTGCACTCTAACCAACTGAGCTAACCGGCTGCCCCACTGCTCAAGTATTTTTAACAAAACCCAATGACCAACTGGAAGACCCACATGCAAAAAAATGAATCTAGACACAGACCATACACCATTTACAAAAATTAACTCTAAGTGGTTCATAGACCTACATGTAAAATGCATACCTATATAACTCCTAGAAGATAACATAGGAGAAAATCTAGGTCAGGAGTCTGACAATAACTTTTAAGATACAACATCAAAGGCACAATCCATGAAAGAAATAATTGATAAGCTGGACTAAGTTGGACTGCATTAAAATTAAAAACTTCTGCTCTGCAAGACACTGCCAAGAAAATGAGAAGACAAGCCACAAACTGGGGGGGAAATATTTTTAAGACACATTATCTGATAAAGGACTGTTATCCAAAATACACAAAGAACTCTTAAAACTCAACAATAAGAAAACCCAATTAAAATGGGGCAGAATATCTGGACACTTCACCAAAGATGTACACTTAGTAAGCCTAGGAAAAAATGCGCAATGTCACCTCATCAGTGAGATGTAAATTGAGATACCACTACAAAGCTACTAGAATGGCCAAAATCCAGAACACTGACACTACCCAATGCTGGCAAGGATGTGGAGCAAGACTTTCATTCATTGCTGGTAGGAATGAAAAATGGCTCAGCCACTTTCGAAGTCTGGCAGTTTCTTACAAAACTAAACATAACTCATACATGATCCAGCAACTGCATTCCTTGGTATTTATCCAATGAACTGAAAACTTACACCTACATAAAAATCTGTGTGTGTATATACATATAGATATGTTTATAGCAACTTTATTCATAATTGCCAAAATTTGGAACAAAGATGTCCTTTAGTAGGTGAAGGGCAAATAAACTGTTACATCCAGATAATGGAATATTATTCAGCACTAAAAAGAAATGAGCTATCAAGCTGTGAGAAGACATGGAGGAACCCTTAAATGAATAGTACTATGAAAGTAGCCAATCTGAAAAGGCCACATGCTGTTATGATTCCAACTACCTGACATTTTGGAAAAGGCGAAACTATGGAGACAGTAAAAACAGTGATTACCAAGGGTTAACGGGGAGGACGAAGAGGCAGAACAGAGGATTTTCAGAGCAGTAAAACTATTCTGTAATGTACTATAATGGTGAACACATCATTATACATTTGTCCAAACCCATAGACTGTACACCACGAAGAGTGAACCTTATTGTAAACGGTAGTCTTGGGGCGATAAGGATGTGTTAATGTAGGCTCACTGATTGTAAGAAATGTAGCCTCTGGTGGGGAATGTTGATAGTGGGGGAAGATAGGGGGTGGGGTGCATAGGCAGGGAGTACATGGGAACTCCTTGTACTTTCTGCTCGATTTTCCTGTGACGTAAAAACTTCTCTAAAAAAAAATCTATTAAAAAATGACAACTCAGTGTTCAAGCATTTTATTAAATCAGATAAGGAAATCTCCACATTGTTGCACATACCAGCTTGTATACAATTATAAGGGCATTATCACTTGTTTACAAAGATACAGCTGAGCAGTAGGTTGGTAAGTCTAATAAGCCATCTTCAGCCAAGTAAAATTTCAAGAACATTCAAAGCGGTAACACAGTAAAGGTCAGCACACTCATTTTATCCTTTATGTTCAAACTGCAGAAGAAATTTGAAGACCAGCAGGTGATCACTAGTCAGATATACATTTCATTCAGGAATATTAAGCCTCTTACCACTTACTGGCTTGATTGGAAATCACCTGGAAGAGATTTACTGCTGTAAAATGCATGCCCATTATTCATATTATGCCTTGAAGTCACTGAGCTTTTATTAATGTATGATATTCTAACCAGGAATCCCAGCAACGACCTTTTTACTTAACTACATTAAAAACACTTCACTTCTGTGGAGACTAACTAAATAGACTGAGTAGTGAAAAAATTCAGTGAGGCTGTAATCTAGATCTGTTTTAATCTTAAGAGGCTCTATGGACTTTTTCTTAGGTGACAGTATTGAACAGCCCTATAACAGCTGATTATCAGGTTTATAGTGATGGTTGAATAGAAAACAGTCTTGACTCACGTAGCCTCAAACTTATTTTTTTCACATCTACATTTAACTTTTGACCACCATATACGATCAGGTAGGTAGTCAGACATAGTCAAAGATCCTTTTGCAAGCTTGGGCTCCCCATAAACTTCCTTCCCCCTCCCCCACGCCTCATACAGGTTTCCCCTGCTTTAAGCTAAAAGGTCAGTTCTGGATTCAAATTTGTATGAACTAAGTGTAGAGGAGATAACATGCATGTAGGGGATAAAGTTAAATTCATTTGTCAACAGCAAACATCATAAATGTATGCCACTATCCCGCTAAACAGAACATCCAGAGAAATCACAAACATAACAAAACACCCCATCAGGTTTAAAAACAACCTTGAATCTTTACGTTTAAATCATTAGATTTAAAAACCTTTGAATCAACAAAAAGAATCTGGAAGGAGGTAATTTTAGTTTACCGTGGTTGAATTTACCCACCAAATGTTTAATGACCACAAAATGTTTCTGCAACTAAAACTAAACGATAGAGAATTATAGGGAGCTGGAAATACATGTTAGATACTAACGATCTTCAAGCTTTGAAGATGTCATTGCAAGAAGAAAATTATGGGAAACACTGTTCCCGATAATTATGTACACCCTTAGTGTAACATATGGAGATCACTGTCTCCGATATAGACACTGTGGTAGGCAAAAACTACCTTGTTCTTTATACATTATGGAAGACACTGCTCCCGATAATGTGAGTTAGGTTTGTGACAAAGGTACTGGAAATTTTGCAAAATTTGAATTAAAGTTACACCTTGGATAAAATGAGCTGTAAAATTTTGCAAATGAGCACTATCACAGCCTTTAAGTGACATTAATTTATAACTTGGTCACAATTCACTGCATTTAGGAAAACTACCATTTTTATCTACTTGGCTAAACAAAGTCTAACTTGATTAGAAACCCCTAATAAAATTTAATTCTTCTATAATATTTAGCTTTAAATTTTTATTTAGCTTGAGGCTGTTTTCTAAAACCCTCAAGAATTGACCATAAATGCAAAACTTCCAGTATCTGTTGGATTTTATTAGCAGATGCTGCTTTTATTATTTAAAAAAAACCAAAAACGACAGTATAACTGTCATAATTATGGAAGGCACTGCTTCCGATAATTATCTTCTATAAAAAAAACACCATTTATAGTGAACTCTGTCACTGATAAATAAACAATAAATATCTCAGTGCCAAAATGATAGAAAGCTTTTCCAAAAAAGTAACACTTTGGCCAAAATTTGGCAGTGTGTTCTTTAAAGTCTGACAAACTGAGTTTGAAATTAAACACCTAAAATTGGTTCTCTTTCAAAATACCTTGGAAAAAACAACAGAACACTAAACGAAGGCTTATGGGGGAGGGGGGCAGAGGAAAAGAAAATGTAGTAGGTCTTTGGCTTCTGGTCTCCTCTTTTCATAAACGATCTTGAGGGTAACTCCTGCAATAAACAGTTGAACCTTATTTTACACAGCTAAAGGACCTCTATTTCAAACCCCACTGGCAAGAACACAAGTCCTATCATTTTTCAAAGTTAACTGTTTCATTCAGGGATGTGGAAACCAGCTAAATCCTTAAAGAAGGCATATATCTCACTTGCAGGATAAGCTCTTACAACGTGGTATCTCCAATCTAGCATCAAATGAGGATGGAGGATCACACACTAAGCTACCACTTTTAACCTTCAGGAGGTATCACTCCCTCCTCCCACTCATAAGATTACCAGTTCATGTCCTAAGGATTTACAGCAATAGTTCACGTAACTGGTTCTGACATTTTCCTAACTGCAACAGGAAAGAGGCAGTTACCATTATAAAGCACTTAAAATTCTAGAGAAAATGTTCTATGATGAACATTTTTAAGTGGTTATTCACTTTAACTTGAAGTGCAGGTACCTATCCTGTATTAAAAGCTGCTGTTTAAAGACATCTAGCAGTACCAAGAGGATTGGGTAGAATTGTAACAATACTAGGTTTTGTAGTCTTACTGAAAATTTAGCACAACCAGCACAAGTCTAGAAACCATACTACCCTGATAAGTTATGGGTATATCACATTTAAAACTCATTGTCAATGTCCCAGATGTCACCAGAGAGGGCATTTGCAGCTCCCTGAATAGTCCAAGTTGCTAGAGCCAACTGGTTCTTCAACAGTGTTTGATTAAAGGCACCATTATTTTTCTGACGCTCCTTCAAGTGCTCTAGTAAAGCTGACAGAGTGTGAGAGCCATAGCCCCAGAAGATATGTCGGAAAGGTGACTCACTCGGAGAGACATAGGGCGAGAGGAAATTATATTCCACCTACAAAAACAAAACATACAAGACAACTTACACAGTGTTACGACTTCTATTGTGAGGAAAGGGCCTGATATAGTAAAACCACTGTCATTCTCCCACTTCAAATGTTAAAATTTCCCTGAATTCAAGAATGTTGAGAACAAGGCTACTGATCTTCTAATGTTAAAAATTGTAAAGCAAACTGTCAATTCCTCTGTGAAAGTAAACTCTAATGGTATTGGGTTTGGTTTTGGTTTTGGTTGAAGCACATATATGGAAGGTTTACAACAAGTTTCTATTGTAATAGAGTCTTCTAATTCTTCCAGGCAGACTAGGATAAAAGCAGGTAAGGGCTGGATTAGACAATAGAAATACAGAAGAAATGACAGCTAAAAATTAATGATCTCTTCTTTAAAATGTTTTTAAGATCTAAAATAATTAATACTAGGTAAAATGTCTCCTGTATTAACAATATAGATATATTAGTTTTAGATCGTGTGAGTTAAAATCTCTGAATTCAATAGCAGCAAAGGATTCTAGGCTCCTGGAGTTATTACTCTACTTTCTAGAAATGCAAGATTTCCCAACTAAAAATTAATATGTTTTAGTTCCTCCTTTTCTAAGAGTTTACTTACTCTCATGATACGGTCATTGAATTCTTTCATGACAAATCTGTTTGTTCTGTCAGCATTCTTATAATCTGTTGTTAGTTTGGAAGTAGCACGAAAAAAGTCCCCACGAGCAGAATAAAGCCATTGTAGATTCAGACCCATCTCCTGAAGCAGAAAGACATTACATTCACTATTAGATGTTATATTTCCAAGGACGTTCTTCTGTATACCTTCCTAATTTAGGTGTAGCAACTGAGATTCTGATGAAAGGGGGAGAACTTACAGACAAGCCCAAGACCCAGAAAAGGCTAGACTTAAGCTCTTTGTAATTATCATTCTTAATCTCGTAAGAAAACCATCCTTGTCAAAAAGTTTAACAACCTATTTAGTCAAAGTATATAATCCTGTGCATCATATCGTTTCCAGTTCAATTTCCGTGAGAACGCAAGGCATTTTGGTTCAACGAACTTTAGAATCTAGTTATTTCCACCAGTTAAGTCCCATTTTCTGATCAGTTACAGTTTCAAGTTTCAAGAGAGTCATAATCATTAAGATTTGGCTATTAATTGGAAACCACTTTTGATTTTATCAAACATTTGACTCTTGGACACACAGGATCAACATGAGATAAGATTGTAACTCCTGGCTATGTTCTCTCCATCCAGGTCATCTCCAAAAGGCATATATAGCCAGATTCAATAGGTTCAAAATCATGGTTGACATCTTACACCTCTTTATGGGTTTGCTCGGAATACAAACAATAGAAAACCTAACATAGTTCTAGATTCTGAAATACTTGTTGTGGTCCATCCCAGATCTATAACCCATAGTCTTCCAACTTACTGGATTTCAAATGAGTAATGAACTGAATTACACCTCAGTTCACTTTAAAATATACTTTGGTTACCAATCACCCCCTTCCCCAGAAACAGCTAAATATCATTCTTCAAACTGCTTAATACTTCAGCAGTAAGAACCTGTTTTTAATGAGTGCTCACCTTTATGTCTGCTCTAAATTCATTCATATCACTCACAAATGAAAGTATCTTGTCATTATACATCTCATAGTTCAGGTTCAATTCAACACCATGGGTAAGTTTAATCATGAGCTGACCAGCCACTTCTGCTGCTGCACGTGCCATTTTGTTCAAGTCAGGAATAGTCTTAGACAGTGTGTCATAGGTATCCATGTTAGTACCTAAATAAGGATAATCTGTGTCCTGGAAAACAAAGCTAGGTTAATGTACTCAGGCTACAAGAGTAGGAGACTCATATTCCAGTTTCACTATCAAGGTTATAGTAACTGCAATTCTTCCCTTGCTTCTAATATATCCCTAAACCTAATTTTATCTGTTATCCACTACTTTAAGACACCACTTTTGCCACTATCTCTGAACCTAACCTAGTACAAGAATGACTACTTTCTTCTATCCCTGTTCTATCACATCAGATACTCTGAACAAATTTCTAGCCAAATTCCTTGAGGTTATACCCTTGTTCTCTCCTCTCTGGGAAGTTTGGTCCATATTAATGAGGAAAGAGAGCATGCATGTAATGTACTTTCAATATAAAATGTTACTCTTAGACAAAAATTTACCTTCTTAATCACTCAGTAGTTGATCCATTCATACAATGGTAGCTTCCAACAACAAAGTTTGATGCTCACAAGAGCTTCTTCCACCTTCATTGTATAACTTTAGTAACTATTTCTTCAGCTCTATCCCTTACCACTATCCATGGTGACAATCTCATTGACAATTCTTTGGTCTGATCTCAACTCTTTACTTTCAGACTATACATTTCTGTATTATCTGTACCTTTGAACCAGCACTGCCAGGTTTTTGACATCTAAGAAGTCAAGATTTTTAAAAACTCAACTTCTGAAGGTCAACAGAAATCATTCATAAATTTCCTCAACCATAAAATATGACACACAGTTCTTCCTAATGTACTAAGTAGACACAATGACCAGCTATTTCAATATAATTCATACTGCTACTCTCACAGGTCGAAGGAATTCTAACTATGTTAATTTCTAAATCCAGACCTTTCCCCTCAGATCTTTTCAGTGCCAGGCTAAAACACCCAGTGACAAGGAGTCTAATAAGGACCTGGCTTCTACTCCATCAATTTGATGCCAAAATCAACAGGTTCCATGCTGATCCCATATACTAATAACTAGGATCTCTTCACCCCTTGGAAGAGCCCGCTACAGAGCTGGTTTTCCAACTCGAGCACTTTAGCACAGAAGCCATCATCATTCTGTTCACTGCCTTCTAATTGGCTCTTGTACCAAGCTAATCTTGTTTTCCTACAACTTGGTCAGTTCAAAAGTTCTGTCTCATAACAATCTCTCATCTGTTTGGGTTTCTGTGCTTTTACCTATAATCCCTGCATAAGAGACTAACATCTCTGGACAAACATCTAGAACCGTATTTCAACAGGTATCAAGAACAGCATTGTCCAGTAGAACTTTCTGTTTGATGAAAATACTCTATATCTACCCTGTCCAATTGGTAGCCTTGTTATTAAAACTGATCAGTTAATTGAAGTTTTAGCAAATAATATCAAATTCTAATTAAACTAACTGAGACAACAACTCTGTTAAGACTGATCATAAGGTAGCATGCAATAACTGCATGTGTAACTATTAAACGATTTTAAGCACTCTAGGAAACTTGCTCTCAAAATTAATGAAAGAAAACTTAAGATACAGCACTTGAGAGTTCTTCAGACTTACCTCACAAAAAGAGAAAGAAACTGCTGGGATTCCAGAATATGCAAGGAAAGGGAAAGCAGCATTATCGAAGGAAAGTTTCTCGCTGTAAGAAAACAAGAATGTGTTTTTTAGCAAGTTTTCTAAAGAATAAAACTGTGCTACCATGCAACCTTACCCCTACCTACCAATAAAGTCTTAAATTGAATTTCTCTAGGTATAGGTAAGCTCACTGCAAGGCTATGTTTAAATCTCTACCTAACACAGTAGGTGCTATTAGGTGATTATGCTTTTCTATTAGCTGTTCATTCACTTTTCTCAACTTACACTTTGTTGATCCAATTGCTGTCCTGATATAGAGGCTTCCCAGTAACTGGATGTTTCACCTATAATATAATAAATTAATTTATCATTAAAACGAACTTCTGAAACATGTTTCTCTCTATAAACATTTATTAAAAATATTAAAATTTTTTACTATACCCTCTTGAAAAAAATGTAAGACAATTAAAACAATCTCAAATTTCTGAAGTTATTCCTACTTAACATTCTAAAGGTGGTTTTAACCATAATTTTAAAAGCCTTCTCTAGCCTTCATAATATGCCTATCTCATTTCTCGTTTCTTCCTTCTAATACACTTTATACTATTGCCAGCCTAACCTGCAAACACAGTACTGCCTTGTTGGAGACCCTATAGTAATCACTAGTTTCCCACAGGATCAAGGTCAAGTTCTCTGACCCTGGTTTCCTTCCAACTTTAATTACTCCAATATATAGCCTCTAATTCCATTTAGGCAAATCTTGTTCCTTGCTCATTCAAAACTATAGTCATTCACACATTTTATTCAATGAATACTTCATCTGGCCTTATTTAAGCCTTAGGTATAGGTTCAAGTCCACCTAAACCTTCCCTTCCTTTAGCATCCTGACTCTATAGACAACCCCGCTGTCTTTCAGCTTAGGCCTCATGAAATTCTGCTATATATGTTCCTAAATAGACTACATATTTTTTGAGATCAGAGCCCTTTATATATCACCTCCCTCACTCACATGGTTCAATAGGCTTGGGGCAAATAAGCCAAGAGCGTGACTTAAATAATGCTGCTATAAAATTTATTCCAATTTCCCATTATTGGTTACTTATAATGGTTTAAATATTAATGTTTTTCACCTTTTGTAAATTAGACAAAAAATTAAGTTATACATTTTCATAATTAGGAATACACTCACATCTCGCATCACTTTCTCAATAAGTGAATACAGCAGTGGGCTGGCAGAAACCTTGAAGCTGCTGGTACCTGCAAAGAGATGATTTTAACATTACCCCTTCTACTAGTCAAGCAGTATTCACACTGCTACTTCTACAACTAAAAGTACTTGGCAAACAGGACGACAATAACCTGTATCAGTGGCATATACAACAACTGTCTCTTAATGAAGTAGATAAAAATGTGATTTAGGAGTCAAAGTTCTTTAGTGACTGCTAACCTTAATTTGACTCAACTGAAGCTCTTACTCCTTGAGTTTCAATACTTTAATGGTAACGATTTGCTTTTTGGTACATTTTTGGCTCATCCATGTTAAGGCAATCATCTGCTATAGAAGCTTGCTATACCCAATACATTCTGCTGCACAGGTTAAAATGGCAATAATGACAAATCTAATAAAGATTTCATTTAATTGTAACACCTTCCTTTTTCTTCCCATAGGAGACATTTCACTCTTCTCTGTTCACCTATACTTTTAATAACATTCAAACTCTTTTACAAGTTTGATTACCTGGTATTTTTATCTATGATGCCACAATCTAACAAGATGTGAAATTAGTCTTTGGAAGTACCATTCTATTTGGTATGGTTTATTTCACTCTGGTCTAAAATATAGTCCAGACTAGTGGTTCTTGTCAAACTTTATCACCGGGAATGCTTGTTAAAACAGTTTGCTGGACCTGTGCTCCAATCTGACCCAAAAGGTCTGGGACAGGGCCTGAAATTTTGCATTTCTAACAGTTCCCAGGTGATCCTTATGCTGCTGATCTGGGGACCACACTGGGAACCAGTGCTCTAGACAAGGCAATCTGTACCCATTCTATAACTTAATCAGCTATTAAGTGACAGCTAAGTCAATCTGATTTGAGTATGGCCAATGTAAACTGTAAAAAATAACAAGTGCTGCTTTAGAATGCTTTCTTCTGCTGTTTTATAAGAAATTTACTTGAATTCATAGACAGCTAATAAAAGGGTACTTACCAAGAACCGCTTTATCCAGATTAATATAAGTGAATGCCTTTAAATGCAAGGAAGAGAGATATCCCTAGAATAGAAGGAAAAATATTAATGCACTAATATGTATTAATCTAATTATCATATCACAGAGAGTAGCTATTAGGGGGTTTCTTTTTAAATTTGGATTCTATTGAGACTAAATATATATTTAGGCAAAAATGATATAATCAAATCTAAAAGAGCATGGTTTCTGGAGGACAAATTATGCCAAGAGAAGTTTGGGTACCATTTGGGGTATAGATAATACCTCTAGCCATTCAGTGGCACCAATAGCTCCGAATTCTCCTGCACTCCAGCTGGCAAAGACAATGCTTCTGTAGGGTTTAAACCCATCTAAAATACAACAAAAAGTTAGTTTTATTTTGGGCAAGTTATAGTTAGACAATTGACTTCAGATAAAATCAGAAACTTCTAATTCAGGACAGCAGATTAAAAAATACTTCTTTCCCTTTTGTTTTGAGGCCCCAGGTAAAAACAAAAATAGGAATAAGTTTTAAAAGTAATATACATGATCACATAGTAAGGAAATAAATGTCAAATCACAATGTTGCACAATATATTACTGTATGTCAGCTATACTTAATAAAAATAAATTAATTAAAAAATTTTTTCTTAAGTAATCTAGAAAGAAGAAGGGAGGACATCATTTGCAAAGAAAATTTCAAGTACACAGTAGGGACCAGCTTACTGGAAGTCTCTTATTTTCATCTCCATTATTTGGGTTCCTTAACTTCTGGACCAAGAAATACTTGAAATCACAGTGTATCTTCTTTGAGGACAAATTTGCTTACAAGTAAGTCACTTAAAACACTGGATTACTTTAAAAAACAATTATTATGTATCGAATAAAAATTCACTAATTTAAGTTACAGGAAAGAATTTTCAGAAAAATTACATTAGTGACAGCTCCACTGGGGGATATATGTGCCAATGCCCTCCATCCTCCTTTCCCAGGGTATGTATTTTTCTGTATTGATGTACTTTTATATATAGTTAAGCACTGCAACTTACCCTATGAACCAAAGATTCAAGAATTTGATGTGGGTTTGCATATGTGAGTGGCAAATACCATGGCAGAAAGGCTTAAAAGTAAGCCTTTACATATATATTATAAATATATCAAATTATACATTATAATTTTATAACAAAACTATGGAACATTATTAGCACAGAGGTATGCCACTGCTTACTTTCAAATAGATTCCTTAGGGATCATGTTAGATATGCCGTTATTATTCTGGGTATGTCAAACTAAGAATTAGGGCGCAATATAACACTCTCCAGTGTCTCAAAAGCAATTGATGATTCCCAGTGCAATGAAGACACTGCATGGAAAACTGTTTCAAAGTCAAAGGCAGGAATAAATGTACAACATAGGAAATAGAGTCAATAATATCGTAATTAACTTTGTATGGTGAGAGACGGTTACTAGATTTATCGTGGTAATCACTTCATAAGATATATAAATGTTGAACCATGTTGTACATTTGAAACTATTATATTGTATGTCAACTATACTTTAATAAAAAAAGTTAAAGGCAGATATAACAAAAGACAACCTGACTTATACTTAAGAACTCAGGGTTCAGCACGAGTGACATAGGCAAAAGTGAGCAAAGCGTATTATAACATTTAGAAATATATGTAGCACATAGATATTCAAGTTCTCAAATTTTGCACTCTACCTTTTAAGACCATGTTGGAAAATATCTGGGCAAGTTCCAATAGAAGAGCTGTTCCCACACTGGACTTTGCAGCTCCAGGACCCCAGGCATCCCTCTGGGCCCCTACTACAACATAGTGATCTAAAACAAAGATACATTATAGAATCAGCTCTTAAACTGTTTTCTAATATCAAAGTCTAGAATAAGCACTTTAGAAGATGGATAAAAATATAGTATATGTATTAAGGATAAGAAAGCCTTACTTCGGATCTGACTTAGGACTTTGGGGATATAAACTTTTTCATGACACAATCTTTTTCCTTATTAGCATTGCTACCCTTTTCTACATCACTAAGTTTTCTTATTGACTGTGGAGTCCAAGGGCTTTCCATACTAAATGATACGACTATTTGATTGCACTTAACACACAGATAACCTATTCCAGGGATCAGCAAACTACAGCCCACATGCCCATCCATTATGTATTGTCTATGGCTGTTTTCATGCTACACCAGTTAAATAATTGCAACAGAGACTGCATGGCCTGCAAAATATTTATTATCTGCCCCCTTAAGTAAGTAGAAATTTGCTGACTGCTAGCTTACTCAATAATTAAAAGCAACTTTCTAATCATAATGGTTAGTTTCCTAGGGCCTTATTACGTCCCAATGAAATTGACACCTAAACGGTTCATTTTAGGGCAGAAAAAATTTAGCATTTCACAAAACCAACCCAAGCCAGCCTTCCTGCACTCCCTTCTCTGACCACATCCTTAAGAGTGAAGAAAACAAAAATATAGAAATAGACAGATAAAAACTTAAAAAAAAAAACCAAAAACAAAAACACAAGGGCCTTTACCTGGTTCTTCAAAGCCTTTAATAACACCAAAGACATTTAAAATTCTTGTTTCTTTCAGCACATTGTTCACAGTGAGCTTCACAGTCTTATTCTGTACCGTTACCAGCTTACATGAAGAATCTGTTTTCCAAGTAAAAGGACAGTCTCCTTCCATATTTCTATAAGTGGAAAACAGAGCCCAGCATTCCGAGTCGTTACTTTCCCCAAGTTTACAAAATCAGTCCTCCCCTAACTGTCCAGTAAAATTCTAGGTTAAAAGCACATAAAAGAACATACAAAATTTACTCCCCAGAGGCTAACCATTTGTGTCTTACTCTGGTCTGTAGGCAGTCATTTGAAAACCATTTCCTTGCTTAACCAATGTTTTAAAAAAATTTCTCTCTCTTCCTCTGCTGCTGTGTGCCTTTCTGCCAGAGACACAGCTATAAGTTTATATTTGAAATAGATACCAAGATGGACTCCGAATGAAATTATTATATAAAAGTCCATTAATATATTCTCGTATTTCCTCTCTCCACTAACAGCAGTAGTAATACAGGCTTATCTCGGATATCAAAGAATATTCTCATGCTGCAGCTAGTTAGGTATCTCCCCCTACCTAGTTCCTCAAATGTTATCCAAACATGACTGCTCTAAAGGGGCTTACTTACATAAATACAGTTGACCCTTGTGCAAACGGGTTTGAACTACATGGGTCCACTTATAAACAGATCTTTTTCAATAAATAATGTACATTACTGTAAATGTATTTTCTCTTCCTTATGATTTTAATATTTCTTTTCTCTAGTTTTATTGTAAAAATATAGTACTATATATATATTATATATATACTTATAACATACAAAGTATGTGTTAATCAACTGTTTATATTATTGGTAAGGCTTCCGGTTAACAGTAGGCTATTAGCTATTAGTAGTTAAGTTTTTGGGGAGTTAAAAGTTATACATGGATTTCAACTGTGCAGAGGGGTCAGCATCCCTAACCCCCAAGTTGTTCAAAGATCAACTGTATGTCAAAACATTATTACCCCCCACTACGCAAGGATAAGATACGGGGCTGGCTACAGAGATTAGGTGGTGTGAAGAATTACCTGATTTTAAGTTTGGTATGAGTCAGTAAGAATCACCTATTACAAATACCTCCTAGACTTAAACAGCATTAATAGTCACATAGTATTTTATAAAGTTCTTACATGTAGATACTCTTCATTTGAGACCAATCACCCTATTAGGTAGAATATATTTTAGCTATCCAATTAAGTCAAAGAAACATGATCAGTGGGGTTAGAGTAACTTGCTCTATGTCGCACAGCAAATAAATGGTCACCTAAGTGTCTGAAACGAGATCTACGTCCTATGCCAATACCAGGTGGGAAATATGTTCAGATGAAGATAAAAATTAATGACATATACTCTAATCAGACTCGGTTCTGTTTTTAAAGAGGGATACTAATACACTAGGGATCCAGAAGGACTAATCATGGCTACAAAGCATCTGAAATTGTAATGAAAACTGAGGATATTCCATCTATAGACAAAACTTGAATCGTTCTACAGCTAAAAAGAAAATCCAGAACTAATGGGTGTTACAGGGAATAAAATTTCAGTTCAACATAAATTCTAACAGATCTTCTCCAGTAACTGAATGGGTTGCCCCAGGCAACAAAGTGCTTTACTACAGGAAGTATTCAAGCAGAAGCTATGCCAGGAATATTACACCAGGAATTCACTGAGTGAATTGACAAGGACTCCTTAAGTTTATAAATCCAATGTCTATTATTAATATCACCTTATGGAGGAAAAATTTCATTAACAGCTATCCATCCCCTAAATGTTCCAAATGTGGAAATTATAGCCAATTAAAATTAAAACAAGGGCCGGTCGAGTGGCTCAGTTGGTTAAGAGCTCACTCAAGAGTGTGAGCTCTGAGCAACAGCGGTTCGAGTCCCAGCCCAAGCTGAGCTGCCGATGAGCTGCCAACAGGTGGCAGGATGGCTCAGCTTAAAAAAAAAAAGAATTAAATCAACTTAAACAGATTATTTCTCCATAATCATAAAACCTCACCCTGCAAAACAGTTTTCAAATAAGAACTTACCGAAACAGCTCTTCTGCACTAGATCTGGTAATTGTTTGCACAGGTATATTAGGCAATCCTGATGACTGAGATGGGGGAAACTGAGTGTGATTGAAAGAAGGGAATCCAGGTGTATAAGGGTCACCTGTTCCCAGATGAGCCTAGTAAAACAAAAGAGTAATTAGCTCTAGCCGGTATTTATTCAAGAAATTTCCCTGCAAGAGTCAGATTCAGTATGAGGCTATGTATAGCCCAAGCTTAGTTTAGCACCTTAATGTGTGAAAGTCTGATTAGCTCTACTGTATGTGGCTCTCATTTTTAATATGGTATATGCCAAATTCTCAATTCAAGACACTATAGTAGTTCCCTCTTATTTGTGGGGAATATGTTCTAAGACCCCCAGTGGATTCCTAAAACCGCAGATAGTACCAAACCCTATATATACTATGTTTTTTCTGATACATCCACACACTTCACAGCTTCCTCTTTGGCATATCTGAATTGCCAACATCAATATTCTTGTATTTTGGGGCCATTATTAAGTAAAATAAGGCTTACTTGACCACAAGCACTGTGATACCATGATAGTCAATCTGATAACTGAGATGGTTACTAAGTGGTGAATGGGTGGGTAGTGTATACAAGGATGATACACTAGACAAAGGAATGACAGTGGGATGATGTGAAATTTCATCACACTAATCAGAACTAATGAATTATTTATTTCTAGAATTTTCCATTTAATATTTTTGGACCACAATTGACCGTGGGTAACTGAAAACAAAATTACAGATTAAGGGGGGACTAGTATACTGATAAAGTACTTTTAGTAACAAGTAATATAACTAGGTCTCAAAGTCATATAATCCATCTTCTTGTTTACTGCTAAAACTCTGAAGAAAAAAGAGTATTTAAGGAGGGCACAGTTAATATTTCTACTAATGTATATGAAATCTAGCAATAATTTGGAGAACCCAAAAACTCATTTACTCAAGAAATAAGAACTCACATGTCCAAAATGTGAAACACCTGCATCAACAATGGGAAATTGTTTACGGTCCATGTAGATCAAGACACCAATTGCATTAAAGCTTTCAGCATTTGCAACCTAAAGAAAAAGGCATAAAGCTCAGAAAATGAAAATCTATTCATATATAATTACAGTAATACATACTGGACTTTATGCTAAAGGACAAAGGGTTACAGAGGACTACAGTGATCCTCTCAAATGTTTCAAATAGCTTTTATATTTAGAAAAAATATAAGCCTTAAAACTCATTAAGGAGATTTTAAAAGACAAATAATAAAAATCCATCCAAGACAACCACTGTCTTGATATGTTCCACGTTAGTCCCTTGTGTAGGTTTGACTTTTAATTTTCCTTTTTATAAAACATAGTTATAACTGGATTCTATACATACATAAACTTGGTTACAAAGACACAACTTAAATTGCTTTCACTTAAGCATTTTTGACTAGTTTATTTTCACTGAAAGGCAATGGCTACAAAATACTCCAATTGGATATGCCATAGTTTTGAAGTATCCTATAACTTTAGATAATTGGAACTTATTCGATTTGTTAAGCACTGTAATAAATTAAATTATATCATTAGGTATGCGTTTACATTCTGCTGATTTTCAGAATGTAAGAAAATTAACAATACCATTTTAACGGAAAAATGATAGGATACCAATGTATTTAATAACTCATACTCACCTTCTCAGCAAAAGTGATTTTCCCTGCTCTAACAATCACTAAAGATCCATTCACAGGAGAGGCTAAATCCTCAAAGTCTTTTTTAGTGCCAAAATTAGCATGGACCAGTTTACCCTAGAATAAAGACATTATTAGATTTAGTGAGCACTATGATATTAGAACAGCCATAAAGTCTAAGACAGAACGGTTTTACAGATCCAACCCAAGAAAGGGATATATTAAAAAAAAAAAAAAAAAGAGCCCAAGGCCTAGGAGGGATATATGAGGGTTCTAAAGTCCAAAGTGGTCAGGGTTATCAGAAGTGAAGTCAAGACTTCCAGCCTCCTATATTCATGTCTTTCATTATCCAATGCTGTCTTTAATCTACATTGATCTATTTACATTAAATACTGTACATTTAATCTATTTTACATTGCTTCATATATCTTGGGGAAAGAGAAAAGATAACAGGATGTTAAACAGAGGTATATACCAATATAAATATTGTGGGCTAGCCATGGCAGCACCAATTACATGTTCCCACACTTGAACCCCAGACAATTGAGGACATAAATAAGAATAGGTGTCAACTGAAAGTTCTGTTAATAAATTGGTCCAAAAATTGTCTATTACAACAAAGTGACTTATATAGATCAACTTTTAGATGTTTATATAAGCTGTCATCATACTATTCCTAAATTCTATAGTGTTCAGATGTACAATTATAAGCTGACATTAACAACCAAATATCTAAATACAGAATACTTGCAAGGGAACTAAAACCCTCAATGTTCTTTAACAGAACAATCTACCCACCTCCAAACCCTTGGCTTGTAGGTAGCCAGGGAAAGTGATAGCACAGGTAAACCAGGAAGACACAGACTAGCCATAAAACTTCATCTGGCTCGGAAGGCATCCACTAGATAGCCCTGACATACAAACATGCGGTTTTTAACCTGAAAAACCTAGACAGAGCTATTCTATCTAGCTGTTATTTATTTATTTATTTGTTTGTTTGTTTGTTTATATGGAACGCTTCACGAATTTGCGTGTCATCCTTGCGCAGGGGCCATGCTAACCTTCTCTGTATTGTTCCAATTTTTTTTTTTTTTTTAGTATATGTGCTGCTGAAGCGAGCACTATCTAGCTGTTTTTTAATTTCTGTAGTAGTCTGGCCACATTTGCCTAAATTTTATAAGTTCAGGAATTAAAGAATCAAGCTAAGACTACACGCCAGCCAAGATGGTTAGTTCTATCTGTCCCCACCTAAGTAGGACTCTGATATATGCATTGATTCAGCAAATACTATCATGTGTCAAACACTGTCCACGGCTCTGGGACATAGCAGTAAATGAAACCGACCCCTAGCTCTTTGTGTAGCTTACATTCCAGTTGTGGAGTCAAATGGATAATGTCAAGTGCCATAAGCACTAAGAAGAAAAATAAAGCAGGATAAGGGTAAGTGATTAGAGAAAGGACATTTTTGATAAGATAATCAAAGAATTCCCTAGGGGGGTAATGTTAGAGAAGAGACTTGCACAAAGCAAGGAGAGAAACCATGTTGATATGTAGGGAAGAGTGGTCCAGGAAAAGGGAAAAGCAAGTTTTATAAAGGCCTTGGTGTATGCTTGAATGTGAGTGTTTGAGGAACAATAGGGAGGAGGTTGGAGAGGCCAGAGCAGTGAGAGGAGAGCATGGCTTAGGGCCTTCCCAGCCCAGAGGAGGACTTGGGGTTTCATTTTAACAGGGCATAGGCGGGTTGTGAACAAGACTATCTCACGATAAGTTACATTTTATAAGCAAATTTATGCTAGGACACCTAAGAACAGTAAAGACAGTTTTTGAGCTATTCAACAGAGAAAAAAGTTGTGCACTTTGTCTCACTTACCGTAACTGTTGTGGCCTTACTATAGGCCACGTAACCCTCAGGGCTCTCCACCAGGTACACCAGGCCGCCCTTCATATCCACTATGGTCACCGAGTTTTGAAAACTGTTAAAAAAGATTAAGTTAAAATGAAGCTAAGACTACAACTGGACAAAAAAATTAAATGGCTTTAATACATTTAGAATTTGACTAGCGCATTATTTACTTTGAAAGTCTTTGCTATTTTCGTCATACCTAAATATAACTATTTCTATAAAACAAGTTTACCATCTTTCATCATACCTGTCTTTGACCTGAATCTTAACAAAATGTTCATCATGCCAGACTTTGCTAAGTTGAAGTTTACGGAATTGATCTTCAAGGTAAAAAGCAAGGCTTTCATCTTCTTGAGATCCAGCCTCACGAGAGACATAATAGTCATTCAGATGCCTGGAGGAAAAAAAGTGTCACTGTTAAATGACCTAAAGTTTAATTTAAAATAAACATTAAACTCAAATTTATCAAGCCATTTTTTTTTTTTACTTGAGGTAACATTGGTTAATAAGTTTCAGGTGTACACCGTTATAATATGATATGCATGCACTGTAGTGCATACAGCACTAGTTTCCAGTAAGCAAATCGTTGTAAAAGTATAACTCAATACTACCCATCAGAAATAAATTAATTGTGACCCAAAACTTCTGGAAACTGTTCCCAATATTTGAAGAAATTTATGACTTCAAACTTATGAAAACCTCTTTAAAGCACTCCTTCAAGAGCCCCATCCCAATACAGTATATCTGCTTAGGGTAGTTTTCAGGAAAATGAGCAGCTTCCAGGAGATCTGTTGTAAGCAAAATGAGATAGTACTGCTGTTGGTGAACACAAGATTACAGCTTCAATTTTCACCTACTTTGAGGCACTATGAACCCCCTGGAAGCAAAACTGCTTATTCTGGTCTCCCATGGCTCTTTATAAATATACACAGCATATTAGTTTTTTGATCTTCTGGTGGGTGTGAGGGGGAGGGTAGACTATACTCTCACTATATCCATAATGCCTGGTGTACAATATACACAAAAGTATTCACCAGATAGAGTAAAAATGTCAAGATTTCTAACTTAAGACTAAAATTTTATACCGGTGAAACTACAGGAAGCTAGCAAAAGGTAAAAAATGAATTTGCTCTTTGCAGAGTTTGATTGTGTGTCCAAGGAAGATTTAAAAATCTAAGGATAAAAACCTTAAAGACGCTGCTTTAAGTGTCTTTAAGGCATGGATTAAAGAGTGATAACCAGAAGAAATCAAGGAATAAGAGAAACATATCAAGTTGGGCAGTCAAGTCAGTCCTGACCTAGAGGATAAAGAAGGCTACTGATGCCCTTGTGGAGTAGCAGAGCTCAGTATTACTTATAAGGGGTTAAGATGGGAAATCAGTGCAGAAGAAAATCTGACAGCTAGCAACAAGCTACACAGAACCAGGAGACAGAAAGATTAAGGACCTGTGAATTGTTTTAAGAAAAGGGAGAGTCTCCACAAAAGTTCTGAATTTTCTCCCCATCAACATAGTTTGCATTCTTTACTGACTCCTTACCTTCTAACCAAACATGGGAAGTCTCCCCTATTTCAAAAAGCCTTTCTTCTAGACTGTCACTTTTGTTTTATTTCACTGCACCTAATAATCAATATTTGTTTAGGTGATGAGGGTGAACTTGTGAAGTAGCTTCGAGCTTACCTGATGGTATCGATGAACGCTACGTTATTCAGTTTCTCTGACAACATTGCTTTGAGGTCTGGCTGAAGTAAGCGGGAAGGTACTTCAGGGAAGTACTCCTCTGTTTCGGGAGACTCGGACAACTCTGTTGCCCCACATTCAACTTTTGGTTCGACACGTTTACAATAGCCCAAGTAGCCAATCATAAATCCTAAAGGGTAAAAAGTTTCAGAACTGAATTCACAGAATTTCATTTGTAATCTATTCCTCTATTCCTATAGGAATTGTGGACATTTTCAGCTAAGTCTTGAAAATACTGGTTTTAATAAAATTTTAAGCAGTTTGAAAGTAAATAATGTACCTCAGTTTTACATATTTTAAACTATTCAATGTAATAAATTATATAATAACTTTATTTTAAAGTTACCTTTTCAAAGCACAGGTATCTTGTCTTCCCAGAAGCCTTCCTTGAATCCTTAGGCCAAGCTCCTAGGCTACAAATATCCTGTGCATATTTCTAGTATAACATCTGCACGTTACATTGAAATAATTCATGTGTCTCTCTTCTCCTACCAGGCTTAACTGAAAGTCAGGTATAGAATCTTAATCATTGTATTCCTAGTGCCCAGCTCAATGGCACAAAAAAGGTACAACATAAATGTTTGCTAAGCTGGATTAACCAACTTCCTCGAGTTAGTGACAAGTAACTTTTAAGTTTTTGAATGGCCACTCTTACCAATCAAGAAAAAGATGATTACAGCAACACTCGCATAGCAGATAAATCCACTAAGCTTTTTTGGTTTTGCAACATTGGCACGATTACCCCTCATGTTATTGTCAACATTTTCTTCTTCGTCCACAGCTAGTTTCATCTCCACATGACTATTATCTCCATCTACTTGCCGAGCCAGACTAAACCGGGTATATGACAATGGTTCTCCACCAAACTGAGATTTTAAAAAAAGAGAGAAAGAAAAAGGTAGTAGAAACAATTACAAAAAGTTTGGTCAGGTACTATACTTATTATTGGTCCATTACTATGACTTTCTATATATTCTTAAGGAAAAAGAAGTTCCCCTTTCAAATCAACATTCTTTCCTGTGCGCAGTTCTGTCAACGGCAGGTGAGGGCTAGATCACACACTGGCCGCCTTCATCTCATTCAGCCTTTTCATTCAGGGTTTCTGTTATATATGTCTACTCGTATACATTTTGATCTGTGCTTTCTTTAAATTCATCTTATCTACCTGGCAGTCCCCCTCTACGACGCCCGAAATACCCTTCTTATAAGAAACTTCTTACAAGATTTTCCATCATTAACGCTATTCAAGACTAAATATATTCTTTTCACTATAGCTATTATGGAGGCCCACCGCCCTCTGGAGCCTGAGATCCCCGAAGGCTGGGACCCTTTTCTCTGGGCTCGCCGTCTGGAATGAGCAAATCCGAGAAAATGGGGTGGCAGACCCACTGCAGAGTATCGAAGTTGGGGGTAGCACCCCACCCTGAGGTTGCAAGTTAGCAAAGGACTAGCAACCCTTCAACAGCTGAGTTTTGGAGTGGGGAGCTCTGGCCTGCCGAGAAGTGCTTTATTCACTCCCTTAGGTTTTGAGTGCTTTAGGATGATCAGTGCAGTTTCAAAGCTGGTGGCGGTAGCAGTGGCAGCAGCAGCTCACCCTGAGAAAAGAGGCTAATTTCCCAGAGAATGGTCAGCTATGCTACCACAGGGGCAAAGTTTTTAAGTCCCAAGGACCAGTAGCCACCCTCAACTTGGACTCTGAAAACCAAGGCTTCAACTTTTGGTGTAGAAACATGCTCAACTTATGCCAAGTATCAACAGGCCATTCTTACCAACATAGAGCCGAGAAAGGAACACGGCAACCTTTTTCCAGGACAGCCACTTTTGGTGTCATTAAATTCATGAGCTTTCTAGTATTATCCCTTGCTCAAAAGGAGCTCCTGTATGTAATGTATATTTTAATATTGTGTAAATCTATTATATTGGGCAAGGGTCTGAATTCTTTAAGCTGGAAACATTTCCTCCTGAAATTATCTCCATGCATTACCATAAACTAACATTGTAATAATAATAAAAAAAAAAAGACTAAATATATTCTTTTGTGGGATCAGTTCCAACTCAAGACCACCACTTCAAATGGAAACATACCTGGTGATAGCTTTGGGTATCACTTCATGCTTACTTGGTTAAAAGTCATTCTTATAAACTGGTGATAGAGAACTATAACTTAAAATATCTCACCAAGTTGGAGAATGCTGATCTGGCTTGATCCATCATTCTGGGCTGCCACATAGAAGAGCCTAGTGATAAAATAGAGAATTTTATGAGATAGATGCCATTGTACCAGATTAGTGAAGGCTTATCATTATCCCAGTAGATTATTATATATCAAGTTTACTTCTATTTTAAATATATTATCACCTTTCTAGAAAAGGTCTTTAACCAAGATACATACTTTACATGACAACTAAATTTAGTGTAATCCTTGATTAGATCCTGAACTGAGGTGGGGTGGGGTAAGGACAAGTTCAAGGATATTACTGGGATAAATAAGAAATTTAAACATAGATTATATACTGGATAACAGTATTGGATCAATGTTAGATTTGGGGAGTGTGATAATGGTATTGTGTTTTTGAAGAATGTCCTTGTTCTTAGATTAATGGTTAAGAATTTAAGGACGAAGTATCATGATGTCTGTAACTTACTTTCAAATAGTTCAGTTTAAAATAGTACATAAGAAATAAAGTGAATGTGGCAAACTGTTAACAATTGGTGAATCTAGGTAAAGGGCACATGGATAAACACATTACTATTATTTCAATTTTTCCTGTAGGCTTGAAGTTTTTCAAAATTAAAAACATGGGGAAAACTATTGGGTTGTCGGAAAAGTCATAACGTTTTTTTTCTGTTTTTCGTTGCAAAAATGCATCATGACTTTTCCGATAACCTAATAGGATGTCATCCATAGGAAGCAGATTTAAGTAACTGAATTTATTAGTCAAAGAAAAGGGACAAATACAAACGACAATAGACTGACACCTGAAGAAAAACCCCAAACCAAAGGAGAATTAAGTCAAGACTGGTCATGCTATACAGACCAGTAACAAAACATCTCCAACAAATAAGGAGAGAAAAAAATCCGATCCTTCTGATTAAAGGAACAGTTCCTGGGGGTGACCAGTTAGCTCAGTTGGTTAGCGCATGGTGCTGACAACACCAAGGCTTTGATCCCCGCATGGGCCACTAAAGAGCTGTGCCCTCCTTAAAAGAGTCAACTATGCCATTGTAGCATGAAAGCAATTGTGTAACCAATGATCATGGCTGTTCCCCAATAATAAACAAACAAATAAACAAACAGTTCCTACAAATGACCTGATAGCTCTATGATGCAAAAAGAATACACAAAATAGAGTATGCTATTTTACAGATGAAGAGGCTAATTATCTGAGAGGTTAAGTGACTTGTTCAAGGCTGAAAACTGATAATCTAAAAATGTCGTTCAGTGGGTTACTGGGTTATAAAAATTGTCTTCTCATCTCCAGAAATATTAAGAAATTAATCTTTTTTCAAAGCAAAATACACCTCTGTAACCAACAGAGTCCCTTGTCAAGTTAAAGCACAGGTATTAACTGAAATCTGGATTTTTCTAATTAATTTGGTTTGAGTATATCTAGATGCTGGAAAGTGATATGTTGAGATGTACAACACAGACATTTCATACTATTTATTTTAAGGCTTTTCCTATACAAGAACACTTAACAGCACATTTAACACCCACGTGTCACAAAGCAAGCTGTGAGATATACGCAGCTTGTAAAACAAGACATTACATAAACTAGAATTAGAAAAGTCTATCAAAACCTATTAACAAAAAAAAATTTTTTTTTAATTCCCAAGTTTTAAAGACCAGAGCCAATAACCAATAAATAGATCATATTCTTAGATGCACAATCTCTTGCCCCATCTGGTACAAAACGCTTATCACTATCACAGCACCTGAACCATACAAACCCAATCACTAGCGCCAGAACTAGAAGGCCCCACCCTGAACCAATTTTAATCACCCTTTTCTAGGAAAAAGCAGTTTACAAGTTTAATTCTCATCTCAATCAGCCATTCCTCAAGGTTTCTAGTTTTAAATTAAAGTGGTAACAACACTTAAATAAATGTTCTAAATAAAGGATTTAAATAAATGATGAGATTGAATAACTGCAAGTCTACAGAAACATAGATATTAATAGAATATGTAATTAGGATTTTGTATAGTTGAAATCTAAGTACATTTTTTTACTGAGAAAAAAAATGGATATGTTATTTCTATTTCAATCTCCAGACACAGAACTGACTATAATATAAAAGAAATCAAGTTAGAGGGAAAAACATTGTGACCTAGGCAATTCCTATTTTAACCTCATCATTTAACCTCACACCTGTGAAGAACAGAATAATTCTATGACATCCACAGAAGTTATTCCTGAAGTTATATATATAACAAAGAAAACAAACAGCATCTTCATTCCCATTCAGCTTTCTGAAAAAAGACTGCCCAACTGGAAGGTCCAGACAACTTGAAGTCATTGCAATGTATTTGTGTAGTGCTCATCTACGAGCGCATACAGAAGGTACACATACAGAAGAGTTCCAAAAGTCCTCAGAGGATCATTTGTAAGTAGCTTTCACTGTTGTTGGATTCAAATGTATCTGGGAACCTGGCTCCATTATAGATAAGCACATTATCAGAGGCAAATAACTGCCTCACCTTAGGGCAGTTAGCCAAGGTGGTCTTCCGTATCCAACAATCTTCCACACAGGCTAGAGTAGAGGCACACCATTCCTTAACAAGAACATTCCATCAAAGACAAGTTAAAGGGTGCTATGCTACGTACGTGTATAGACTTTAAAAATATTTTACATCTATGACAAAAAAATTTTAATTCTGGATTTTCTTGTGAAGTATAGTTTATTATAACCCAAAACTAAGAAAAAAACCCAGCAGGGCCAACAAGTACTTGGTCAGCCTAAACTTAATTTTCACAGTAAAAAAACAACTTCTGAAAATCACATTAAATGCCTTTGTCAATAAGGTCAAACTCCCTAGAGCTCAGTGACAAATGAATCAGCGTCTAGTATTCCAAATTCATTATTTAAGACTAGAATAAAGGTATCAGGTATCCAAATACCTCTGTTCCAGGACAACTATTTCCTACTTCAAGCCTGTTAACTCCCCTCCCCCCCCCCAAAAAAAACCCCAAACAAGAAAAAGTAGCAGCAATCAAGTTCTCTGATACCCAAGGTCGCTCGCTACAAGCAGTGAGCAAAGGGAAAAGGTTAACCGAAAAGAGTTAAGTCACAAAATGCTATTTTCTTACCCACTCTCCCCACTACCACACTTTAGCGAGTTGTCCACGAGAAAGTGACACAATAGCCTCGAAGGCGTTTTGTCAATACAGCACAGCCCTTAGACCACATCGCTAATTTCCTTTAAGGTGTACAAGCCGATTTCAACCCAAATAGCCTTTACTTAGCCTCTAGAGCACAGCTTTCACAAAGTTTAAGTCTTATTCCATGGTCTCCCATCTTATTGTGAGGAGAGTCTAGCAAGCCTAAAACCTTAACGCGTTCACTTAACCTGAGGTGTTCAGTCGGCTTCTGTCTTGGGAAAACTGAGAATCCACACCCAGCGCCAAGAGGCAGCATGCGGCAAGAAAGATCAGGTCATACCAAAGAATTCAAAAGCACAGCTTACAGACACCCGCATCTAAACGCCCAGGACACACGTGTAACCGAATCCAGGGCAGCTTTGTCCCTTTCAGCAGTGAGACCAGGGCCCGGGGCGAGCCCCGGGGAAGCGAAGGGCTACGAACTCAAGGTCACCCACGCACCCCGACAGCCATTCCCTGGGGACACTTCCTAGAGCAGCCACGTGCTCGTGGCAGAGCGGGCCAGGGCTGCGGCAGCGTCGCTTGCCGGGCACGCGGCGGACAACTCGCTTCAGAGCCAGCAGCCTAGGGCTATCCCAAGAGGACCAGCATTTTTCGGGGGGAGCTACTGAGGACAAGGGATCGGAGTGGCCTGAGGAGCCAGAAGCAGAATGGCGGGGCGCAGAGCGACAGTTGGGAACCCTTCATCTCGCCCTCACAGCCCTAACGGGAAAACCATTCGCCGCTCGGGGACCGAGACCAGCAGGGCATAGAAAGGAAGAAAAGGGAAAGAGGACAGCTCCTCTCTGCACGGCCGCTCCACCCCGCGGCACCTGCAGCCCGCTCCCCGGCCCCTTCCCCGCCCGCTCGCGGGCCACGCACCATCCCGCCCGCCCCACCCGGAGGCACGGCAGCCTCCTTGCGGTTTCCCAGGCTGCTTAACAGCACCGGGTGGGGCTGCACCGCAGACCATCGGGACTGGCCCCGCAGGATAAGGGGAGGACGGGTGGGTCGGCGGTGTCCTAGCCATGGCATGTCACTTACGCGGACGCCTCCTCGGTCTGCTGTTACCCAAGCAAGCCTCCACCGGCCGATGCTCACGCCCTTTCAGAGTACTGCCTTCCCCCACCAGCAGTTTATAGCCTGGCCGCTGCTTCTTTCGACCCTCCCCCCTGGACTTTGCGTCACATCCGGCGTCACGTACACCTAAGAAGTGGTTGGAATTGGATCGCCCCCCGCAAAGGGTGCGCACGCACCCGGAGGAGGGCCAGCCTCAAAAGCGAGAGGAGGGGCAGGACGAGAGAAAAGGCGCCAAGACTGCAGGTGCGGGGAGGGGAAGCGGGGGGTCGAGCGCGTGATTGGCACACAGTTTTCCGCCTCGCCCCTGCCGGCTGTGATGCGGTAGGCGGCCCTGCAACCCCGAGCCCTCAGTCTAACCTTAGCCGATCACCAGGCTTTGCAGATCAAGGTCAAATGGTGTTAGCGTTTGCTTCTAAATGTTGGATTCGTACACTATAATAATTCCTTAAAGTGTATGTCCTTGATGGAATATTAGGTAACCACTAAAGGCTATATATTTTTCAGTCTCAGAAATACTTAGGATAAACAAAAGGAAAAAGAGAAAAACAAAATGCAAATTTGTGTTTAGGATGTGGAAAAGCTGCACATGAACCAAGACTGGCACAGTGTTTCGCCTAATGTTTTATGCATGAGGGAATGGAAGGGACAATAGAAGAAGTGATTTAGTAGAAGGATAGAATTGTAGATGAACTTTCATGTTCATTGCCATCATTGCTATAGGATTGTGCAATACATAATAAATAAAATTGAATTCTTGTCACTTTTTAAACCCTTTCCAAACACTCACATTCTGTCCCTGCCTCTGGTCTGTAACCTACAGTCCAGTAGGAGATGAGACAAGTTTACAAATAGCTGCAAAGGGAGCAAACAACCTGGACCATAAAAGAGTTACAGATAAAAGAGCTTTCAAGGTCAGAGCCGGGAGGGATGCAGAACAGTACTTTAAAATGCAAATCCTCCTACTCTTTGCCTTATTCTGCAGTGCAAGAAGAGGAAATGCAAGAGGTCTACCCACCGCCTTCGTTTACTCCCATTGCTTAAAATCTCTCCCTAAGGAGAACTGTTATAAAAACTTATCAGCAGGAGCATCTCTGCAACTTTGTGGGTCTACACAGGAAAAAGTTAGTTAAAGGGAGGAATGGGATGGACATGGATTAGCTGTGGAGGGGTCTCCTTGAAATTCAGACAATAGGCCTGCTGAGGCCCCTCTCCCTTTCCTTGATGATAGGACCTTAAAAAACAACAACAAACAATGCTAGTATCCAGGCAAAAATCTTACAAGCAGGTGGAAAAAACAGGCTTAGAAGATGGAGGTCAGGATGGAACCCATGAAAACCCAAATAAAAAAATTTACATTCACTGAAATGAAACAATAAAGAAGATACTACTTTAAACAGTGTGTTAATTATATTTTTATTTTCATGCTTTTATTAATATTAGTAATAACGGACAGTATGCAATTAATTTGCTTTATTATCCTTTTCTCCCTAGAAGTTTTGCAGGACCTCCCTTCTCTGCAATTTCAAGTAGATTAAAATAAATTTGTCTTGCTTTGCTAAAGAATCTATACATTCTGAGAGGCAATTTTGCTTTGTCTGGAATTCCATACAAATGTTCTATTGAACAGAAAAAACACAGGCCCAAAATGGTGTCACTCATGCTAAAGGCCCATGATATCAAACCTAGATTTAATACCTGATCTAACTGCAGTTTCAACCTTTCTCAGAAATGTACTTCATCAACTAGTATGGAGTAATCTATCACACGGGCCCTCTCTACTTCCCCCCATAGAAAGAAGAGGCAATCTGCATGGTAAAACCCTTCCAGTCTCACCCCCCCCCCAAATAAGATGCCCCACCCCAAAATAATTTTTTATGTTCTTTTAATGGCTCCCTTGCCCACATTTCTTCCTATAAAAACCTTCCGTTTTGTACAACCTCTCAGAGTGCCCTTATAGTTGCTAGCTGAGATACTGCCCAATTCAGGAATTAGATCTTCAAATTTACTCTGTTGAATTTTGTTTTTTAATAGCGCAAAGATTTTTTTTTTAACTTGGTTTTCATTGTCATTGTTGCATTATTACATAGCATTAGCTCCCACTTCTGGATGACTCCCATTACTGGAGCCATCATCATGCTTGCAGTGAAATACGTTTTTGGTAACCTTTATTTAAGCTATAACTAAAATGGATATTCAAATTTCAACCTTCCACAGACTATTACATAAAACTTCCATTACAGTGGAACTAAAATTCTTGTAGTTCTTCCAAAAGGTACACAGAAATTTTTAAAAACGTTAAAAAGTCATGTACACTAAAAGATTTTGCCTGAAAAAACTGGAGGTTGGAGAGGAATGAACAGAAGAAAAAAGAAGAAAACAAAACAAAACCCAGAAACCTTGAGGTCTGGGGAAAGAAACTGGAATTCTCAACTTTCTTGAGCCTGGGTTATATTACTCTAAAATGGGAATAAAAATACCTGCCTTGCAGAATTTCTGTGAGTTTAAATGAGATAAGGCAAGTGCAAGCTCCTGAAAACACACAGTAAACTGGCACATAGTAGACTCTTGAGCATTGGTTGAGTCAGCCTGGTAGATGGTGCAGGGTCAGTCAGGAAAGGAACATGGAAGATACCTATAGGCCAGTGCAGGCATTCCCCCGTTTTGGAAAGTTTGCCTTCTGCTGCTTCGCTATTATGGAAGACCTACATTAGTGTCTGTTTTTGAAGGAAATCCGAAGATGATTTATGCTTTTATGAACAAAGGCGGAAAGGCAGGTGGGACTTGGGGCGGGGCGGTGATCAGCATTTATTTTGCAGCAATGAGCCAATACAGAGGCTGCGTGCACCCTAGCAGCAAGAGTGGTCCCACCAAGCTCTTGCCCCAGGAACTACACTCAGCATTCAGCATCGAGCCGCTATAGCTTTGAACTGTGTCTATGAGCATTTGTGCTTTATCTCAATTTATTTTGTGCATCGTTAGCAAAATATGTCCTAAGGCATCAGAAAAACCTAAGAAAGCTCATAAGGGTGCTATACTTAGTGTAAATCTGGACGTCATTAAGTGTATTTAGTGTGATTTAGTAGATTATTGGTGGGGTCTGGGAATATCCCTAATATTTTCCATACGAATTAATGGTAATTTCTTCTTCTACACCATTTCAGCTTACGAAAGATTTCATAGGAACGCTCTACTTTTGGTAGCCGGAGAAAGCTGTGTAGGGATTTAGGCAGAAGAAGAGGAAGAAATAAGGCATTCATCTGGAAGAGAACAGCTTGCCTGAAGACTCTGAAGTGAGAATGAGTCTGTGGCATGTGTTAAAAATTCTACTCTACCGAAATACCTGACAACTACTTCAGGGGTATTATTGGTGGAAGAGCGGGTATGGGAGTCATCAACTGCAAAGTTCTCCCTTCCTCTCTTTTTTCTTCACCTGGAGATAAAAGCAGGAGTCTGGCTATTTGGTGAGGAAGGAATAGCAGGGAAAGCAAACCAGAGAAGCCACTGATGTAGTGAAATCAGCCTAGAAGTCTGTACTGGTTCCAGTGCTGTCACTAACTGTGCTGCAGAACCGTGAGCGGAATAGCTCTGTACCTCAGTTACCCCATCGGCCACTTGGAGGTAACATCCCTTCATTTCCTTCACCAGTGAATTAAAAAGTAGGAAAGCTGCTTTAACTACACGGTTGTACAAATATAAGGTGCTGCTAGTTCAGAGCCCAGGCCAAGTGAGTAAATGTGGCGCTGAGAGGGGAGAAGCCTGAAAACTGAGAAGTTCTAAGCAATTAGCAATGAGGTTATTGCTCAAGAAAAGGAATGTTATCTTCATCGGCTTTTGAACAACCTGATACCAGAAAACAATAACTCAGTCACTGATAATGGCTGAGAAGAAAAAGATGATTAATTACCATCATTACTGACGTTTATTGAGTAGTGTTGTTTGTGGGGCAAAGACATGTAAAGAGACATGAAACAAATCTGTACCTCTGAAAAGGGAATATCACTGGAAAAACAACTTAAAGAACAAACAACAAGGATGCAAATGTTAAATACAAGCAAAAAATAAAAGCGAGTCAATGTCTGTGACAGCCAAATGCCCAGATCTGAAAAAAAGAGGTAAGGCTTTGGTAATGCTCACCAAGGCACACTTGGAGTTCTCTAAATCTTGTGCCAAGTTATATGCCCATTTAGATTCTAGTTCATCTTTATGCTTACCTGTTTTTTTAAATAATCTATTTCTAATGAAAAGATACAATTGAGTGTAAATTGTATTCTAACTCAGTAACAAGTACGGGAAGGAACTTCTGCTGCTTGTCCCATAAGATCAAAGCTAAAACATACTCCTCTTACCTTGGTTACAGGCCAGGAACCTAGGAGGAACACTAGGGAGAGGAGGGGACCGAGGGGGGCGGAGAGCATTGTAAACCCAAACTGCAAGATGGTGCAAGTTGGGGGTAGGAGGTTTTAGTTTTTAAACACAGGCATTTAGTAGTTTGTCCCCTACATTTAAAACATTAATGTGGTTTATGTTATGTATATTTTTTCACAATTAAAAAAATATATGTTAATCAGTCAGCTCAATAATAGAGGATCCAAAACCATTTGCTCTTTCTGGGTTCTGATCTATGGCCTGAATGCTAAATGGGGTCTCTTTAGGCCAGCGTTTCTCAAATGTTTTTGATGGCGCTCCATGGTTTAACATTTATTTTACTTCACAACTCAGTATACACATGTGTAAGGGTGTGTGTGTGCATGTGTGTG